TTACGCACACCCCCGGGAAGACGGGACTTTCCCAGGGGTAGTGTGGGACTTTCCTTCTCCGGAACTAACGGCCGGAGGGGGCCTACCCACTAAAACCTCTGCCGGGCCCCTTACGGCTATTGCGAGGGCATCCCGGGAACCGCTTGCGCATTACTTCCGGGACGCCCTCAGCCGCGGGGCGGGGAAATCCCAAACCCCCTCGCTCCCTTCTCGGGCCAGGAGGGATAATCCCTCCCGGCTCGCTGTTCCTATCTTCCATAACCGGACGTGGGCCCCACCGTCCGGTCACACCTCACCTGTAGGGGCGCTATTGGCCGGGTCCGGTCCCGTCCGGACCCAACCCGCCCCTACGCTCCCGTCCGATGTTGCTGGAGCGGAGGGGTCCAAGAGTTCCCCTCCGCCCCTCCCGGTCAGGAGCCTCCTGACACTGGGAGGGGGAGGGCGGCCTAAGAGTCCGCCCTTGCGAACCGGAGGCGCCTGGTCTGACTTCTTGTCACGGGGAGGGGGAGTTGCGCCTTGCGACGCGTCTCCCCCGCCCGATCAGGCGCCTCCTATCTCCCCCGCGCCAGGCTTTCCGTTGATCAGGAGGGCCCGGCGGCATTGTAGGGGGCAGCGGCGCACGCGCAAGTACCCCGGGGAAGGGAACGCCAGCGGTGGCGTCCCCTCCCCGCCCGCGAGTGCGCCACCCCTCAACCCCGCGCTGATGCGCGGGTAGGCGAGCCGCCGCTCTCCTTCTGCGACGCCTCACCCCATCCCGGGGGGCGGCGGTTTCACCCCGCCGCACCCTCTCTGACTCCTCCTTTTGTGACAGGACTGTGTCACAGAAGGAGGTGACGGCAAACCAGCCCTCGTCTCCCCCAAGCATGGCCCTTATGAGGGCCGGGGGAGAGAGGTCCGCTCCTACCACGTCAATCAGGACCCGGCGCTCCACATCCCAGGAGAGGCATTCCTCCAGGGTGTGTTGAGCCGAGTCCACCTCAGCACCACAGTGGTAGCAGCGGGAGTTAGGCTCCCTACCAATCCTGTGCAGGTACTCACCGAAGCATCCATGTTCGGTGAGTACCTGCGTCGTCCGGAAGGACAGCTCTCCTCAGGCCCTGTCTACCCATTCTTGTAGACAGGGTCGGATGGCCTCGGCGACCCTCGTTCCTGAGTGGCCCGTCGCCTCCTGCAGGTGGATGCTCCACCTTAGGAGAAGGCGTTGACGGGCCTGCAGTTTTGCCATACCTATGGTCCTGGCCAGATATTCGAGGTCTCCCCCGGCACGGAGCTCCTTGACACGCCGATAGGTCGCAGCGTGCATTTGTGCAAGGAGCTCCAGCGGGAGGAGACCGGCCAGGGCCGTGGCGGCCGTATGCGACGTCGTCCTATAGGTCCGGGCGAGGCGAATGGCGACCCATCGCTGAGCGCGGTGTGCCAGCGCAATTATGCGCTGGTTGGTCGCCATCGCACTCGCCCAGACCGGGGCCCCGTACAGGGCCATGGACTGGACGACGCCGGCATACAGCCGCCGTGCTTTCCTTTTAAGGCCGCCGAGGTTGGGCAGGAGGCCACCCAACATATTGGCCACCCTGCCTAACTTGGGAGCCAGAAGCTCGAAATGCTTCTGAAATCCCCATGTACCATCCAAGACGAGTCCCAGATATTTTATTGTGGGACCCGTCTTCACGGAGACACCGTCGATCCGGACTCGGGCCCCAGGTGATCCCCTCCTCCTTGAGCCATCATGCATGAACACGAGTTCAGATTTGAAGGGAGCCACCTTGAGGCCTATCTTGTTCAGGGAGCCTACCACCTGGTCCACCGCCAGTCGTCCCTTTTCCAGGGCGCTCCGCCAGCCTCTGCCCCCGGCCAGCACCATCGTGTCGTCTGCGTAGCAGACGACGCTGCAGCCGGGGGGGAGGGCAAGGCGGAGGACTTGATCGTACGCGATGTTCCATAGTAGGGGTCCTAGTACGGACCCCTGAGGAACACCGCGGTAGACCGCCCTTCCGCACTGGAGTTCCGCTTTGTTGCGGAACTCCAGTCTTCTATCCCGGAAGTAGTCCCTAATAATTGAGACCAGGTGGGAGGGGGGGACCCTGAAATGGACCAGACCCGCCTCCACCCGGTCCCAAGGGAAGGAGTTGAAAGCGTTGGCGATGTCCAAGGACACCGCCAACACAACTCCCCCCCTCCTCACGACGGCCTCCGAGAGGGACCGGACGCGTAAAATCGCGTCCACGCTTGACCGTCCCTCCCGGAAGCCGTATTGCTCCTCACTGAGCTTTGGACTACCCCGGGATAGGTGCCGAACGAGGCGGACGTGTATTATTCTTTCGAATAACTTGCCCGCCTCGTCCAGCAGGCATATCGGCCTATAAGCGGAAGGGCTGTCCTCCGGCTTGCCCCCCTTTCTGAAGAGGACCAGATTGGCCCTCTTCCAGGGGCTGGGAAACACCCCGGTTCTCAAACAGGAGGTGAAGAGCCACATTGTGCGACTCTTCACCTCCGTCTCCTTCATCGCCAAGGCCCATACTGTGCCTGGGATGCCGTCAGGGCCCGGCGCCCTTTTATTGGCGCCGAGCCTCCTGACGGACCTGTCTATCTCCACCTCGGTGACTCCGACCGTCTCATCCTCCCCGTCCGGGGGGGGCCTCGTAGGGGGGAATGCAAGCTTCCCACCATGGAAAGAGGGCCCCCACCACTTCATCGAGGATGTCGGGGTCCAGGGACGCCGTTGGAGGGGGCGTCCAGTTGCGCAAACGCCTCATCACGATTTGATATGGGCGCCTCCACGGGTCCCTGTCGATGGTGGAGGCCAGGTCATCCCAGGCACGGGCCTTGGCCGTAAAGATGACCGCCTTGAGGGCGCCCCGGTACGCCCTCTCGGAGGCCATCCCGCCCATGCTATCCCTTCCCCGCCGGTCCATTCCTCGCCTGGCTTGGCCGGCGGAGCGCCGAAGTTCGGCGATCTCCCCCGACCACCAGTACACGGACCGACGGGGATGCGGCCGGGATCGGGGCATGGCGGCATCACATGTCGCTGTCATCAAGCCCACGAGCCCGACCGCCTCAGCCTCAATGGCGGCCCGGTGTGGGGCCCGGGTCCGCTCATGTGGCCGCCGTTAAGGCGGCCGCCAACTTGTCGCGGTCAAGTTTGCGGAGGACCCATCTTGGTGGTCGGGCGCCCCCCTGGGCGCATCTCAGGAGCACCTCCTCGGAAATTGCGACCAGTCGGACCATGATGTAACGATGGTCCGAGAGGTTTTCCCCCCTGGTCACCACCCGCCAGTCCTGGATTAGTCGGGATGCCTGGGGAGACGCTAATGTGATGTCGATCACAGATCTCCCCCGCGGCCCGACGAAGGTACTCCTCCGGCCTCTGTTTATGTCACAGAGGCCGTGGGGCGCGACCTATTCTTCCATAACTTCGCCCCTTCGGCACCCGACCGAGGACCCCCCAAACGCCGATTTAGCATCGAGGTCCCCGGCCACTAGGACCGGCCTTTGGGGGCGCCTCGACATGAAGTCCCCCAGCCGGTCCAAAATGTGCTCGAAGTGAGCGAGGTCCCACGATGGTGGGGCGTAAACCCCGACCACATCTAGGGCCCCCCACTCGAACGCGACGTATCCTCCCCCCTTCTCCACCAAGGAGGCCTCTCTCTCTTCGCGGAAGATCGCCACCGAGCACTTACCACCCCGCCCCGCAACGTCATCCATTATGGCTGGGTGACTCCCGGGGACGGAGTGAGGCTCGGAGGCGATCCCCAATCCACAACCGCGCTCGCGGAGGGACTGCATAAACAGTTCCTGGGCTCCGCGAGCGCGGTTGAGATTCGCCTGGAGGAGGCGGGTAGCCATTTCGGCTTAGCTCCGCTCTCCTCCAGGCCCTCCCCTATTTTCCCCGCAAGAGGGGGACCCTCGTTGGGGTTTCCCCTCTCCCGCGAGGCAACTCTTTTCCCGGCCCCAGCCCCCCGCGGTTTCCTCTGCTCCTTGGGAGCAGTGTCCGTCGGAGGGACTGGGGTCTCGGGCAATGGAGCCCCTCCCTCTGGTTTTTGAGGAGGGGCTCCTTCTTCCCGGGGGAGGGGCGGGAGGGGTGTTGGAGGCTTTACACCTCCTCCTCCCACTCTTTCCCCCCTTGCCCCGCTTTGCCATTTGGCAAGCGGGGCCTCCCACTCTGTGGCCACAGGGCCGTCCGGCGTCACGACACACCGGGCATGTCGCCGGTACATCGCACGCCGCGGCCCTGTGGCCAGCCGAACCGCAGTAGTAACAAAGACCACTGCGGTCGGCCTTGTTTTTGCATAAGGCCCTGACATGGCCCCACTCCAGGCATTTGAAGCATTGGAGGAAGCGTTTCGTCAGGGCCTCAACGCGGACGGAGGACCACGCAACTTTGAGTCGCCCTCCGCCCGCAACTTTCCGTGCGGCCGAAAGGGGACGTTGTATCCAAATGGTCCCCATTCGGTCCGCACCCGGGCGTATCGCCCCGGCCTTTATTTCGCCGGGCCCGCAACCCCCGGCGACCGCTACCGCGGAGATCACATCCTCCGCGGTGATTGAGTCGTCCAGGTCACCTACCCGGATGTCGGCCCTCTTCGAGAGACGCACAATTTGCACGTCTTTCTTGTCGGCGAAGAGGGCCGACATTCTTTTGGCCAGGGCATCCGTCCTAGCTTGTCCTTCGGGACCAGGGATCTCGAGGACCAGTGCGCCTGTGGCGGCCCTTCTGGTCCTGAGATCCCCGATCCTCAGCTCACTTAGATCAATATTGCCCCATCGCCCGCCGCATAACATCGGCGTAGCTGCCCGTAGGGCAGCTTACTGTGACGGCGGCGGTGCGAGGAGCCTTCGGGAGGACGGGTTTACTCCCGCCTTCCTCGTCCCGTGTGTTCTTCTTCTTATCGCCCCCGTTGGCCGCGGCACATTTCTGGGGCCCCAGCTTTTGGGGGGCGGGTTGGGTGGCCTGTTTGTCCCCTCCTCCTCTCTGCTTCTCCCTCCTTCCAACCACCCGGATCCAAGTCTCAGGCCCGGTGGCGGAGGAGGGAGGGTCGGCTCCCCCGACCGATCGCACCTGTGCGGTCCGGCTCTGGGGAGGGGCCTGACTCCTCCACATGAACAGGCGCACTTGCAAGGGAGGGCCCTCCCACCCGCTTGGGGTAACGGGTCATCCGCGCTATCCTTCTTTTTCTTCTTCCTCCGCTTGCTCTTCCCCGCCACCTCAGGCCGTTTGGTCCCGGCGGGGGTAGAGGTCGCGGAGGACTTGGCTGCAGGGGGAGAGTCGGGGCGCGTTGCGCGGCTCCCTTCCCCTCCCCCTCCTCCTACCTTTTTGTTCTTATTATGAGGCCACGCGGGCCGCTCTCCGGGTGTGATTCCGGGGATGACGGCCCCCATGGCCTCCATAAGGCGGGGAACTAGGGCCACAACAAGGGCCTCTAGCTCCCCGCCACTTAGTCCCGCGACCACAGGGGGCGCGTTATCGGTCGAGGGGAGGAGTGCTCCCCCCGCGGCCCCCTGAGGTCGGCCACCAACAGCTCGACGGGCTGCGGGGATTGCCCCCACACCCGCTGTCACCACCACAGTGGCTTTCTTCTTCTTTTTCTTCCCCTTTTTCTTAGGGAGGGGTCGAGCCACCCCCTCAACGAGACCGTCACGTGCCCGGGAGCCTCCCTTTGGGGAAGGGTTCCCTCCACAATGTCCCTTGTCACCTCCTCCCGACATTGTTTCCCGATCTTTTCTTCCTCGGGAGTCGAGAGGATTGGCAGGACGGACCCGACGCCTCCCTCGACTGTCGCTTCCTCCTCACTGGAGGTAGACGGGAGGCGCCGGGTCACCCTTTTCTTCTTTTTTTTGTTGATGGGCTGGGAAGGGGGCGGGGATTCCCCCCCCCCAACGCCCTCCGCCCTCTTCCTCTTTCGATCAGCGGACGAGTCCCGGGAAGTGTGACCCGTCCGCCGATCCACCTCCATATTCGGTGGCTCGAACTCATCGATCTCCATAATGGAGATCGCCATTGGTAGGCTGGAGGGGCCGGATGCTCGGGCCCTCTCCAGCTCACCATTAAGGCGGTCGACCTCGAGCCGAAGGCGCTCCACTTCGGCCGAGGCCGCTTCCTATTCCCTCCTTGCAGCCTCACTCTGCTCAGAGCCATCGATTATCGTGGTTCTTTGAACGAGAGCGAGGCTGCATGCGGCCATTTTGGCCGCGGAGTCCCAGAGGGCCCCTCTATAGGGTCCCTTCATATTGCCGGACCGCTCCGCGACCTTTTTCACCTCGTCGACGGCCTGAAGGGCCGTGTAGTCCCCTGTACGGGAACGCAGCGGGCCGCCTCCGCCCATCCTTCTTGGCAAACCTCAGGTTCTGCGCAGGGGAGCCCGACCGCGAGCTGGTGTCTCCGTCGCTACTCCCCGCGCCAAGGCTGCTCTTTCTATCGCTGCGGGGGCGCGCCGGGGCCGACGATGACCTCGTGCGGCACCCCACACTCTCATTGGGGTGTTTTTTCGCCCCAGCCTCTTCGATAAGGCCACTGCTGGCCTCCTCCCCCCCAGCTGAGCTGGTGGTTGGCTCAGCGTTGGGCGTGTTTCGCCCATCTGAGAAAGAGGCATACGCCTCCATCTCCTCTTCCTCTTCTCCTACGACACTTTGATTATTTAAATTGGACATCATTTTAGGTTGCCCGCCCCTTGTCACCCGAAGGCTTACAGGGCGGGCCATAAAAACTGGAGGAAGTATTTACCCCCTAGGCGGAGCCCCACGCCTGGGTTCGGGCTAGATACACCCGGGATGCGCCAGGTGCCCCTGGGTGGACCGCTCGCGACCGACTAACCCGCCGACCATTCATCCCATCGCCACGGCTCCCAAGCTTAGGATTGGGAAGATTTTTTATAGAGGTCCCCGTCCTCGCGGCCCAGGCGTTTAAGCCAAGGCCCTCGCTCCCCCAGGGGTTTGTCATAGACATGACATAACGACCCCTAGGGGTTTACGATATGTACAGGTCCAACGTTGTCGGACCAGCGCTGTAGGGGTCCTGGCAAATACCACGCAGACCCCTAATGCTCCCCGTGCGCAGCTGCCCACACGGGGGGCCCTCACGGCCGGCCGCGTCGCAATATGCGATCGTGACCAGGAGCGTTCAAGGAAACCATGTCATTTGATGAAACAACACTATTGTTTTAAATAATATTTTTTAAAAGTTTCTCTCAAAATTTAGTAATTCGATTTGTTTAATTTGGATTTTTTTGGATTTTTTAATTTTTTTTGTTGGATTAATCATTATAACATTTTGTTAAAAATGTAAAAGTAATTATCACTGGTTCACTACATTACATCAATATTCATCGCATATCGAATGTTGCATTGTTTCAATATCTATCAACAAATTATCCAATAAACAACAAGTAAAAATTATATAACTATTATTTGGTGTTTGCTAGGTATGTTATAATATACTGTGAACACTATAAGGTTACATTATATAAGCATGAATTGTAAGAACATCGTTAGAGTCATCAGAGTCACCGCGTGCGCGCTCGATCCGTCACGTTAAGCAACAGTTTAGTGCGGTCAGGAGATGGATGGATGGATGGCCGGTGTTTTTCTACCGCTTGGGATCAAAATTATCGCAGGAAGATTCATGAGAGTTTGGAATGTGTTGACAACTTTCGATATCTAGTAGTTTATGAGACATAAAAAAATTAGGAATATAAGTATATTTCTGTAAACAATTTGATTTTCTCATTTTTCACCTTCGCATAATAATTCTCAGTATTTGATTACTATCAATATTTAACATTGATTTTATTATCAGTATTCACCAGAAATTAAGTACTGGCCAAAAAATTACAGAATTACTGGTAATATTTAATCACTAATAATTTTGCAGTATTTCTTAGTATGATATGTCTATAAGGGAATACAACAAAATATCGAATATCAGACATATTATCAATCGCAAAGAAGACGCTTTCCTGTATGTTTTAGTAATACGACAATACTTAATGACATAGAAGAATATTACATAGGTTCTATGGATGTATCTTGCACCCATTGTAATGCTAAACATTTTACAGCTGAAAAAATTATTAATAAAGGAAATTCGTTTCATGATTGTTGCAATCATGGTGCAGTTTATCTCCAACCATTGCCTGATTTACCTGAATTTTTGCATTCTTTATTTGATGGAAGTCATGTAAAATCAAAAGACTTTTATATGCATATTTGTAGTTACAATAGTTCTTTTTCTTTTGCATCATTTAACGCAAATTTTGTTAATTTTCAAGGAAGACGCTCTGGTCCGTATTGTTTTAAAATACAAGGTCAAGTTTATTATCAGATTAATACAGCATTATATGCTGCGCAAAATGAAAGTCCGACGTATGGACAACTTTTTATTGTCGACTCAAATGAGGCCATAGATAGTCGTCTTAATCAAAATTCATCTTTGGATTTTGATATTGTAACAAATCTTGAACGTTTAATGCGACAATATAATGTATTCGCTCAATCATATCAAATGATGAGTGAAGAACTAGCAAATCAACAACGATTAGAAATTGAAACTGGTGAATCGTTACCAGAATTACAATTAGTATTTACGTTAACACCAGGAATGGATCGACGTAGATATAATCCTCAGAGAATAAACGTTAATAAAGAGATAAAGTTGCTGCAATTTTTAAAACAACTGCTGATGGGGAAATTCCTGAATCTTATGTTACAATACGTAACAGAAATACCAAAATATTACAACAGATGAGCACTATGGATCCAAATGTAGAACCTTGGATATATCCATTGTTTTATTCGTATGGAACTAGAGGATGACATCGTAATTTAATGAAATTAAATAGCACTAGGAGAATAACTAGAAGGCAATATATTAAATATCGTTTGGCAATTCGTAATGAATTTAATGTTTTAGGACGTCGCTTGTTTCAACAATGGCTTGTAGATAATTATGTAAAAATTGAAAAAGATAGAATAGAATATTGTAAAGCTCATCAAAAAGAATTACGTGTTGAAACCTATTAAGGTTTAATAGATTATATGCAAAATATGGCAAATAATATAAATGGTCGCGTTGGAAAAATGGTCGTACTTCCTTCTACGTTTATTGGATCGCCACATAATATGTTACGAAATTATCAGGATGCTATGGCAATTGTTAATAAATTTGGTAAACTAGATCTTTTTGTCACAATGACATGCAATCTGAAATGACGTAAAATCGAAGAAAATATTCTTTCTGGTCAACAAGCTTCAGATAGACCTGACATTTGTGCTCGAGTTTTTGAATTAAAAAAAAATTACTTAATCGAGTTAATCGTTAAACAAAAGTTTTTTTGGAGAGGTAGCAGCATTTATATACGTTATTAAATTTCAAAAACGTAGTTTGCCTTATGTTCACATATTAATTACTTTGAAGCGAGATTTTAAAATAACAACTCCTCAAATTGTAGATAAATATATATCTGCTGAAATTCCTAATCCAAGTGAGAACAGTAAATTACATGATATAATTATGAAACATATGATTCATGGACCTTGTGGTGATTGGTGTTTGGTTGATGGAAAATGTTCAAAAAATTACCCAAAATCTTTTCTTGAAGAAACTAAAATGGATAATGATGCTTATCCGTATTATCGTAGACGAGACGTTGGGAAAACTTTTACACGTCTTGGTGGATACATAGTTGATAATCGTCATGTTGTTCCATATTGTCCTATTTTATCAATTATATTTAATTGTCACATAAATGTTGAAATAGTGTCAAGTATTAAATCAGTTAAATATCTTT